AAAAAAAAAAAAAAAAAAAAAAAAAAAAAAAGCATAACCCACAACAGCTAAATGTCAAACAGTCAGGCTGTGTTACTTTCATTTGGCAACTCCTGGGACTCCTAGGGGAGCTGGCAAGGCCTCTCCATTGCCACTGGTGCTTGAAGGAGGCTGTTTTTTTCTAAAGATCCAGGCTGGAACTCCCAGATATGCAAAGGCATTGTGCTGGGGCTGGGGACGGAGCTCAGTGGCACCGTGCCTACCTTCGAAAGTGCAAGGTCCTGAGTTTGATTCCCGATACCAAAAAAAGAAAAAGCATTGTGCTGGCTACTGAGGCCACAAGGTCCAGGGGGCTGCGCTAAGGACTTAGATTTGAGCCTTTCAAAGCCAAACAGTGACTACTTACTGAGGGACCCAGAGCCAGCACAGGTGTACAGGACTCTAGCGAGGATGGCTTCATAGCAAGTCCATGAGAAAAGTCCTACCAGGAGCCCAAATTTCTATTCAGTCTTCCCCTCTCTCTCTCCTTCTCTCTTTCTTCTCTTTCTTCTCTCTCTCTCTCTCTCTCTCTCTCTCAGTTTAAGTAACTTGTCCATACTCACAAAAATTCCCACATGCCCAACGCAGGGTGCCCCAACTGATCCTGAGACCATGCTGTCTCTTCACTTCCTCCTAGGACTTAACGTCCTCAGTGATTATCCATCACCTACTACTTAACCACAGGTTGCCTATAATCCCAGGTAGTCAGGTTGAGGCAGGAGGATCACAAATTGGAGGCTAGCCTGGACAGTTTAGTAAGATGTTGTCTTAAAATAAAAAGTAAAAAGTGCTGGGGGCATAGTAGAGAGCCCCTAGGTTCAATCCTTAGAACCCCGCATATACACACACAACTTATTTCTCTGAATGTGCGCCACCAAAATAAATAAATATTTTTCTGAGTGTCTGTAGGTCTGCGCACTGCAGTGCACGCATGTGCATGCGGTATGTAGTACGCATGCTTACATGAATAAATAAAACATCAATATTTCAAGTAAGTTTTCTGCAAGAAACAGACCAGAACTAAGAGAAACATTTCAAGAGACTCTCTTGTCTCCCACATACACCTTGCATTTCTGATCACTGCTGTATTTCCGTACTGTTTACACGTTCTGGAGAACCCCGCGTCACAATGCGTGCCCCAGCCCCACCCTGGGAAGGGAATGAAGCGGCAACCGGAAGTGATGCAACCGGAAGCCCGGGGGACGGACGTGCATGCTCACCTTTCCTTTTGGTGCAGTGGTATATCTGTCCGTGCTCCTGGGGCAGCGGGTATGGGTTGGGTGGAGACAAGAGGTCCTGGGAGGGGCCGGAGACGCCGTTCTCACACTGGTACTGGGACCCCAAGTTGGAGGATGTGGAGAGAGCTCGGGGCTCACTGCTGAAGGGGCTGTGGTTGGAGGCCACTTTCTGTCTCACCGTGCTCCTGGGAACCACAGGGTATTCTTTACTGGAGAGAGCATACAGAAAACGTGATTATCAAGGTCCTGGAACAGAGCCTCCCACTGGCTGAGCTACAGGTCCGGAAATCACGGGAAAGGTCACAGGATGAGAAATAAGGGGGTGACCCAGTTACCTCGTGTATATCATCTGCCCTGGGTCTGTATGAGGGTTCTTATACATTAGGCGAGCAGGCCTAGGAAGAGTTCTGTACAAGGGCAAGGGAGCACCCCAGCGAGGAACCCCACTTCACTGTCGGTGGCATTTGGAAATATTGCCATCTAGCCTGTGTGTCTCTGAATTTCCTAATTCAAAAGCTAGGTGAAAGCCAAGAGTGGTGTGCATGCCCATAATCTTAGCACTCAGGAGGCTGAGGCAGGAGGATAATGAGTTTGAGGCCAGCTTGGGCTACAGAGAGAGGTTTAAGGCCAGCCTGCTGCATAGTGAGGCTGTGTGTCCCAAACAAAAAGCTATATAAATTGGGCAGTTATTTAAACTTAACCTCCGTGTTTTATTTTGGGCTTTCACTGTGTAGTATGTCTTGCTACGTAATTCAGGCTGGCCTTGAACTCACTACGTAGCCCAGGCTGGCCTCAAACTTGAAGTGATTCTCCCGCCTCAGCCTCCAGGGATTACAGGCACCACTATGCCTGGCTCCGTTTCTTCCTTTCTGTGATCCTATGAAGTTGGTATCATTTTGTCCCCACTTTACAGATTAGAAAACTGCAGCCCAGGTAGATCAGACATTTTTTTTCAAGGTGACTGAACTAGTACAGGACTCAGCCAGAATTCCAGCTCAGTCACCCCTGAATTACACCTATACAGTCTCCTGATTGCCTCTTTCAGTTCTAAAGCACAATATGCTTTCAAGGGGCAGGGGTTTGGGGCTCACGACTCCCCTCTCCTATCCTCAGGGGTACAGTGATCCCCACCCATGTCCTCGTTCTTTTGTCTGTCATGTGAAAGGACGTCAGCATGGCGAGGCAGGGGACAGCGGCATCTGCCAAGTTTCCATGAGACTGCAGGCGCCCTCCAGACACCCAGGGGTCCCCGGCCAAGCTTCTCTGTGGCATGTGCCACCTTAGCCCGCAGCTGGAGCCAGCTAGAGCCAGCTGTGCTAGCCCGAGTATCCCCAGGGGCAGCAGGCTGAAAGGAACGAAAACTAGCTTTACAGCTTTGGCTTTGTGGTTCAAGCTACGTAATGGAAAGAAAAAAAAGAATAAGAAAATTGTAATAATAATTAAAAAAAACACTACAAAAGCTGTCAAATCTCTCTGGTAATTCTATTTGGGTCAGTTCAGGTCAAGTACTGGGCTGTCAGAGTTCCAAGAAGAAGGGGGAAAATGTCTTTTGGTTTTATATTTTTAATGGGGATAGTTATTCTTTTTAATTAAAGAAAATAATCCCCCAAATACGTTGGCTGAAGGAATTTACAAGGGAATGTATCAATGGACTCGGTGGAATTCTCCAAGCTGGCGCTGCCAAAAGTGCAAAATTACTCCCTGGAAAAGCCAAGCCCTGATTGCTAACACTCCCCGCAGGGGGGAAGCGCTGTGAGCCCAGTCACTGAAGAGCTCGGAACGGCCTGTGGAGAACATCTTGTTTAGCGCCTCAAATGCAGCGTTCCAAGCCCATCTGACAGGTGTCAAATGGCTGGGGATTTAGCTCAGTGGTGACTGCCTCGTAAGTGCAAGGTCCTGAGTTCGATCCCCAGTACCCCTCAAAAAAAATAATAATAATAACAACAAATAGGAGCAGGGCAGGACAGAGGAGCCTTTCCTGCTGTACAAGACTGCAGTACAGGGACGAAAACCCCAGCATCTAACCGGATCAGGGTGGTCACGCCTGCTCTGTCCTCCTCGGCCGGGTCTCAGGAGCAAGCCATGGGACACTACAGTTGATAGATACCATCCTTTCCCTCTCTGGCTGCAGAGCTGGCATTTTATCTGGGTGAGAGAGCTGGCTTCGTCCTCACCACCATCCTAGTCCCGTCCCCTCTGCCTCCTGCACTTTGCTTTTTAGAGTCCTCTGCATGTTCCCGCTGCTGGGCTGATCAACATCGATGCTTTCCTTTATCCGATCCTGGAAGGGACCTCAGTTTCGCTCGTACGGTTAGACTCCCTTTAGAGCTTATAAACATTCAAGCTCAGAGAGATTAAGCCACCTGCCCCAGACTGCACAGCTCAGAGGCGGTCCCACCCCAAAGCTCTCGTCCCTTGACTTAGGCTTGATCACAGTATTGCCCCACACCAACTGCTTGGCAAACGCAATCGCCCTGGTGTGCAAAGCTGGTGATGACTGAGCCAGAGGCTGAGTCCACCGCAGTCGGGCTCTGATCAGCGTCCCCAGACACCGCCCGGGTCGCAGGGCCCAGGCTCCCCCTGGCCCGGCCCCTCTCGAGTTCGGTTCTTCATGATCGGGAGCAGTGAACGATGCCATTGTTGCGGGTCTGGGTTGTAAAACATTACAAGGGAATACTGAAAGCCACGGCCAAGCTGCATCCTCAGCCCCCTCCTTCAGGCAAGGCACAGCCCCGGGAGCACGTTTTCCTCAATTGGGCCTTTTCACGGGAGCAGGTGGCGGGGCTCGGGCGGGGTGGGGGCCTTTCGCTTTTGTTTTCCCCGGGTGATGCTTACCCGATTTCTGACAGCCGTTTCCAAACAGCCGGGGCAGTGCGCTGGGGCAAGCTGAGGACCGTAAATTCCCTGTTCTCCTGCAGCGAATTCCTCTTCTCCCTCGCCCTTTAATCTGTGACTCAGATTTAAAGGGGGAGGAGGGGGCGACCACCCCCGGAGAGCGCGCCTGATGTGTTAGTTCCAGCGCCCCGGGGAAGTGACCCTGAGCTACACGCGTGGACACGGAACAGGGAAGGCGCACCCCCTGCCGGATTCAGCCCCGCGCAAATAATACATAGTCACTTGCTCCCTTGGGTCTGCAAAATGTTTTCCAGTCGCCCCCAGCATTCCACTCACAGCGCCAGCAAGCGTCGAGCAGAGGGCTGATGCCATCCCACTGGTGAGAACGGGGAGACCCAGCATGGTTATTTGAGTTCCCCAGCTGTGGATCCAACGGGGCTGTAGGATTTGAGGGGTGCTGAGAAACTCAAGACCCCTCTCGCACTCCACTTGGGATAACTATGGCTTGAGGCTTTGGCTCCCCATGTTAAATCTCGATGATACTGCAGCCCAGACTCTAAAGACAAGAGCTACTGTATCGATGTCCCTTCACTGAAAGAACCCAGCCACAATCCTGGCCACTGGATGTCTCGCTCTTCTTTTGTCTAAGCCGCCCCCCCTTTCTGTAAAATGGGGTTAATAAGAATAGGTACCATTGCTGGGCACGGGGGTGCAGGTCTGTGATCCCAGCACTCTAGGGGGCTGGAGCTGGAGGATTCCAAGTTGGAGCCCAAACTGGGCAGTTTAGTGTGCACTTGCCTCAAGAATAAAAAAAGTTTAAAAGGCTAGGATTGGAGACTGGCACGCATGAACCCCAGGTCCAACCCCAGCACTGGGGAGAAAAAGAAAAAGGAAAGGAATGGCTACCTCGTAGTGTTGCAAAATGGCAGGATGAATAGGAGATCCGTTGCTCCATAATCACCAGCTTACGGGGGCGGGAATTTAGCTCAGTGGTTCCACCTCCCACCTCTCAAGCGCAAGGACCGGAGTTCAATCCTCAGTACCAAAAAAAAAAAAGAGCTTATAAATCACACATCCAGCTCTTAAAGAGATTCCTACCCCTCAAAAAGGTCTGTTAATCCCCCCTTCCCCAAAGACCAAATAGTTACAGCTTGTCCATTTTCCCAGGCACAGACTTACACTATACGGGCTACTCAAAAGAGGCTGGCGATTCCTAAAACGGTTTTAGCCAACGGAAAGGCGGCTCTGGAATGATGGCAGCGGCCCTGGCCCTGCTGTACGGACCATCCCGAGAGGCCCCGGGTCTCAGATTCTCCATTTGCAGAATGGGCAGAGTGAGGCCCATCTCACAGGAACGTTGTGAGCCCCGGGAGGAAAGAGTCGGACGGAGAACTTGGCAGAACCACCGTGAGCGGGGGGCGCCCACGCGAGAGCATCCTGCGGGGTTGCCGGTACCGAGCCGCACGGCTTCGGCTTCGTCTCTCAGTTTGGTCTCGTGGAACCAGTCCGGCAGCATCTCAGTTTTATTCCTTTTTTAACCGATTTCTGGGGAGAGGGTGAATGGAGGCGGAGAGGAGCCTGTGGAAGACTGAAGTTCTGGACAGACCTGGACTAGGCGGCCTTACAGCCACTCCTTGCACCGGGAGGGAGGGATAGTCTCTCGCCTCCTCTGTTCTGGGGGAGATCGCGTGGTCTGGCAGGAGGAAGTCCAGGGCCTCCAAGACCTCTGGTTCACAGGATGATCATGGCCACGTCGCCACAGCAAATACTTTTCTTCCCAGTACCCTGGGGTACTGGAGCTACAGCCCCAGCCTCTTTTTAAATGTTTTAATTTTGAGACAGAATCTTGCTAAGTCATTAAATTGCCCAGGCTGGGCTTGAACTTGCAATCTTCCTGCCTTAAGTGTCCCAAAGTGCTGGGATCACAAGCACGCACCACCACGCACAGCTATAACTGCTCTTGGAAAAATGCTAAATGCTCTGCATATTAATATAAAAGTCTGTCGGGCTGGAGATTTAGCTCAGTGGTTCCAGCACCTGCCTGGCAAATGCAACAACCCAAGTTCGATCCCCAGTACAAAAAAAAACCCCGCAAAATATTTTTTAAA